GTTACCGTACAAGCATGTACGGATTTGAAACCAACAAACATACGAGAGATATTTGTAAGTGCTCCCCTTGTTTCGTAAAGTTCCTTCAACTTCCGTGATTCTGAATGCGTGCCTGAGAGTTTGGGGGCAGACCCTGCAATTGGTCTAGATTGCTCGGTAGAAGGGTTTAAATTGATACCTGGGACAAGTTGAATTGCCGGGACAGGCCCTTGGATTGGCCTGACAGGGATATGAATTGGCCTGGCAGGGACATTCCGACAGTCAGAATTAGCCTGACAGGGATACGAATTAGCCTGGCGGGACATTCCGACAGTCAGAATTAGGCTGACAGGGTGTCGAATTGGCCTGGCAGGGACATTCGGACAGTCAGAATTAGCGTGTTCAGGGTGTCGAATTAGGGAAGCACGGGAATTGTGCGACCGGGGCAGTCAAAAGAATTGCTCTGCCCGACAGTTTGTCCTACCCTCTAGCTCTATCGATGTATTGGTCGGGTCCGTGCCGTCAGTGCACACCAGCATAACACATAAGAAATGGGGACCTGCAATTCATTCATGCAAAAAATGTAATAATGTAGCTGGCCGCTCGTCGCTGGCCGCCGATTGGAATGCTGGAATAAAAAAATACCCTGTGTTAGTGCATGTATGCCTTGAGGGGGTAGTAGCCGGCCCAGGCCGAAAAGGCCTCTCAAGATGTGAGGAACATGTGCTCCAGTGCGTATTTATGTATGTTTTCGCGGGAAGCCTTCGTTGCAAAAAGGAAACATATATAGCTGGCAAGCAATGAAAACAGGGCCGGGTGTGGGTGCACTCCCCCGAAGCGACAACTAGGCCTGCAGACCAACTGCTTCAGGGTGGTAGTACCCAAACACCCGAAGTAACCAGCACAACCACGCATGCAAGTCCATGCAAATCGTACAGCGGCACTCCCAATTCACAGGAAACCTTAGTTTTCTCGACGCTTCGCTTACAAAGCTATGAGATTGTGCGAAGAAGGGGGCAATAGCTTCATCCGTGGCCACCACTAGCCTGGCAGTGTTTACCTTCCCGGGTGTGTTTGGGTGCACCCTCATGCTTCTGACCCATGCCGACCCCCGTGACAGGAGAAATCGGTACCCCAAACCCAGTGCTGGTGTACCTTGCAGAAAAGGGACTCGACTGTATGCCGGTAGCGCCACGTAACCCTCGCGCCGGCGCAGGCGCGGGGGCGGCAAGGGCCGGCCCAAACACCACCGACAGGGACCACGGTGATCCGCCTGCACCCGAACCGGCCGGAGCGCTACCGGGGACGCCGAAGCCACCAGAGCACCTCACCCCGCAATGGTGGAGACCTCGATGGAAAGTCACCTGTGATCAAATACTGGAGGACAGGATACCCTGGAAGCCTGGAAAAGGCCAGGCAAAGGACACAACGGGGCAACAACAGATCGTTTATGACCTATACAACGATGTAGAGGACATCGTAGAAGTACTCGCGGGCCCTATCACAAAACGCATCGTCCCCTCAAACGTTAAACCCCCCAAGAAACAGAAAATCGGGGCCGATAAGACCACAACCCACGAACAGTACTACACGGTTCGCTGGAAAGACACTATCACCCCGATATCTATCGTCGGCGCATACACCAGCATGGGATACGTGCCCAGACAGCTATTACCAGTGACAGGTCTTTACGGCACGCGGATCGACCACCACTTCCGCAGAGCGATATGGGAACCGTCAGATATCCCCGCCGCGCAACTCGGTAGGCTACCCAACGGACCAGCAGTGATGGCGAGGTACGAGCAAACGAGGTCGCAGAGCGTGAACCCCCTCTCGAGATACCCCAAACCCAAGGACAGCAATCTAACGAACCCTCAGAGGCAAGGCCGATGGAACCCGCCCCCCTCGGAGCAGACCCAGTGGGCACACCTTATTCGAGCAAACACTACCTTTGAGACTCACTCTGGGAAAGGTTTTCACCCGTAAATTCATGTTTACCTGTAGGTTTTCTGCGAGTAACGAAAGAAAACCAAGGTTTTCTGTGTATTTGCCGAGAGCGTACTCGGCTGTTCGTTGGTGGTACAGCGGGGCCGTACCGGTGAGAAAGTAGGGCAAGTCGCGGAGAGCGCGACGGAAAGAGCAATTTCGCGAGTTAATATAGTCAGTACTGACAGGTTTCCACTGCGTCGTCTGCCCATTACACCGCCCCGCGGCAGATAGCGCAGTCGGTAACCATGTTCCCTTTCCTCGGCTTAGAGGTCGCCCTAGTGGCAATGTTCGCGGGCATCGTTATGATGCCAGCTAAACGTAGAGTCGGTGACCAAGTGGTAGAGCTACAGAAGGTGCATGCAGACTTGCACGCGCAGTTGACCGCCATCGAACAAGCCGATGACTACCAGAAGGCCGCCTCCTTGCTGGCCTCTGACCCTCTAGCATGTTTAAACAAGAAGAAATTTTCTACCGTGATGGGCCACGCCTGGGATACCTACGTCTCCTTGAAGAGTCAAATGGCGAGTGTCAGCGCGCACATTGCTCAACTGGAGATGACCATGGAGCAGCCAGCTATGAAGGTTCTCGTCTCCGACAAGTCTGGTCGCGTCGTGGAGCGCCCATTTAAGGACCTGGACTACGTCAACGATGGCTGGGTCAACAAGTCGGGCAAGGAGCACAAGGCGCTCAAGCGGGAGAACCGGGAGCTGAACCAAGTTTACCATGCCCTTCAGAAGGTCAACCGCAACCTGGAGGATGAACGTGAGGCGCGCCGCGATGAGGCCCCACCGGAGCAGATTGAGGAGTTGGAGAAGGCAACTAACGACGCCATCACCGAGGGTGAGAACTTGCTCACGGACCTGAACACGCGGCTGCGTAAGGCTATGTTGGTGGGTTGGGAAACCGTTGAGTCGTTGGACCTCCCTGACTGCTGCAAGTCCGAGGAGGAGCGTAGCAAGCTGTTGTCCGCGCACAAGCGTGTTGTTGCTGAGAAGGAGTGTGAGCGCAGGGGTAACAAGCCCTCGGCGCAGAAGCCGTTCGGTGCAGGTTTCCGTCAGCGCCAGTTCATGGCGCCCTCGCCCGGCTTCGGCCAGGCCCAGGTCGGGTTCGGGTCCGTGCAGGGCGCAATGCTACCGCACCAGGCGCTGCCCTTCACACCGGGGCTGCAGTTTGGGGGCATGGCCCCAATGAGTCAGGGTGGCGGCAAGCCGCCGCGGGCCCCGAAGCCGACGGATCAGTGCCATAGGTGCAAGCAGTTTGGACACTTTGCGAACATGTGCTCGAACCCACCCGCGCCACGGTGAGGGTGGTGGGCCGGCAGTGCAGTTTGTGCGCGTCGGGGCGCGTGAGTGAGAGTGATTACGGCCCCATCGGGGGGTAGGACCTGACTGGCATGTAGCCACAACTTGAGTGTGAACGCCCCGGAGTGGTGTAGCCCTTCGGCGGGCTGGTTGCAGGCCCACGCGCCGCTGCTATGTGCTATGACGTCCCGGAGAGACGTAGACCCCCTCGAGGAGGGAGTGTCGGACTTTGCCCGGCTCACGGCCGGTTGCCCTTGTGTAACATGCGTTCAGATTGGGCCGGGTCCCATGAGGGTGGTGACGTCGTTCAAGGCGCCGGGTTGCCTGCCGCGTCTGGCAACATCAATGTGAACACCAACTGGTGGCTGTCGGTCTGCTCCAGCTCGTGGACCAAGCAGTGGGTGCAGCAGGGGTTTCCGTTGTGGTGGAAACAGGCAGGCATCACACCGCCGCCGAGGGTCATGCGAAATCACCAAGGGGCGCTGGAGCAGCGGGCCTTTGTTACCGAATCCGTCTCAGCACTTCTGGCAGCAGGAGCTGTGCGGCAGGTTAGCGTGCGCCCGCGGGTCGTTAACCCCTTAAATGCGATACCGAAGCCTCGTCAGCCCGGCAAATTCCGCTTACTCCTTGACCTGCGGTATGTCAACCAGTACATGTACTGCCCAAAGTTCAAATTCGAGAAGCTGACCGACTTGGAGCAAATTATCCAGCCGAACGACTTGCTTATTAGTGCAGACCTCACAAACTCTTATTGGCAGCTCCGGATGCGCGAGGACGCCTGCGATTACCTAGGCTTTGAATGGGAAGGTCGCTTTTACGTGTTTACAGTGTTGCCCTTCGGGCTCGTGTCTGCCCCTTGGGCATTCTCTAAACTTATGCGCGAGTTTTCAGCCTACCTGAGGGGCAAAGGCTATCGGCTCATTAACTATCTAGACGACTTCCTGTTCTTGTTGGGGTCGGATCGCGCCACGGCCGCAAGCCGGCGGGACGAGATCGTGCGTGAGTTCGAGCGGGCGGGCGTCACCATGAATAAAGAGAAGAGCATGCTGACTCCCATGACGGAGGTGCGCTGTCTGGGTTATTTGGTTGACAGCGCAAAAGGGGTGTTTGTAGTCCCACCAGACCGTTGGGAATCGTTCCAGGGAGCGGTCACGGAGGCCTTAGCACGGCCTAGCATTCCAGCCAGGACCCTGGCACGCATCGTGGGACACACGGTGAGCATGTACGTTGTAGTCGGGCGCTTGGGGCGTCTCTTCACGCGGGCGTCGACAGCCCTGCTGCCCGACCGTTGGGGGTGGTCGAGTGAGGTCACGGTTACCCCGGAGGTACGGGAGGAATTACGCTTTTGGCAGTCGCTAGACCGGGAGCGGCTGACTAGCCCTATCAGGCGACCTCCGGAGGTCAACGTGCTGGAGGTAAACTCTGACGCTAGCGCTACAGGCTGGGCGGGTGTTGTGTCAGGCCCAGGGCTACGCTCAGTGCAACCGGTCGTGCGGGGGTACTTGTCTTGGGACTTGCGTCGTACTTCGTCGGGGAACCGCGAGCTGGCGGCTATCTTCTTCTCTCTCGAGTCCCTGAAGGAAGAGCTGAGAGGGCGGCGAGTGCACTTGCTGACAGACAGCCAGAATGCGGAGCGTATTGTTGATCACGGCAGTTGGAAGGCACACTTGCAGGAGTGGGCCTTGAAGATTTTCTGGTGGTGCAAGGAGCACCAGGTGCAGTTGAGTGTGTCCTGGATCCCTCGTGAGTTGAATGAGGTTGCCGACTACTTCAGCAAGTTGAAGGAGGGGGACGACTGGAAGCTGAACCCAGTCTGGTTTGAGGTTCTCGACCACAAGTGGGGCCCACACATGGTGGATCGCTTCGCGTCGGCGGGGAATGCCCAGCTAAAGCGGTTCAACTCCTTGTTTCGGTGTCCGGGGGCCGAGGCAGTGAATTGCTTCTCGCAGGCGTGGGGAAAAGAAAACAACTGGTGTAACCCACCATTCGCTTTGGTGGGCAGGGTGCTGGAGTTTATGAAGAGCCAGGTGGCGACCGGGACGGTTGTCCTGCCAGTGTGGAAGTCGGCGGTGTGGTGGCCGTTGCTGTGCCCCCGCGAGGGTGAGTTGGCACAGTTTGTCACTGGCTGCCTCGAGTTGCCTCATAAGCAGCAGGATCTATTCTTGCCAGGGGAAACCGCCGCGAATGAGTTTGGTGTTGGGGCGCCCAGGTGGCGGGTGTGGGCGGTGCGGGTTTCCTTCCAGAACCGGTGGAGGTGGCGCACTCCGCTGGCAACCCCTCGGGAGTAACCGGCACTGACAGGGAACCGGTGTGTGCCCTCGCTTGCCTTTGTGCTGGGCCGCTCAGACGCCTTTGCCGCGTCCTTCTGGGAGCGAGCAGGGAGGCTGGTCGTGCCAAGCCATCTCGGGCTACTGGCGGAGAGTCAAGCATTTGCCGCGTCATCGCGGGCGGCCTCCACGAAGAAGGTGTACGTGTATCCGTGGGAAGGTTTTAAGTCGTGGTGCCGTGCGGGCGGCTACTGCTACCTACCGGCAAGCCCGGTCATGGTGGGGATGTACTTAACGTCGGTGGCTAAGACGGCGTCAAGTTACGCGACCGTTAAGCTGGCGAGTGCTGCGATTTTCATGCAGCATGACTTGGCGTGTGAGGGGGCGAACCCGACGAAGCATCCCTTTTGCAAGGCTGTGCGCGCGGCAGCGAAACGCTCGCTCGGGACGGCTGTGCTGAATCGTAAGGAGCCCCTAACCCTCGAGGTGATCGTGGCCGTCGTCCGGCTGTTGGCCTCCGCCGGTGCCCCAGTGTGGAGTGTCATGATGGCCGCGTACACGGCCTTGTGTTTCGCGGGCTTCTTCCGGTATGATGATGTGGCAGGGCTCTTGGTGCGAGATGTGCAGTTCCACGCTACGCACGCCGCTGTCTTTATTGCTAAGCGGAAGAATGATCAGTTCCGGGAAGGCAATGTGGTGTGCATTGCTCGGGGTGAGGGCGTGGCCTGCCCAGTGGGCCTTTTGGAGAGGTACCTTAAGCTGTCGGGCCTCACGGCTGACCAGCCGCTCTTTCAGGGTTTCAATGGGCAAGCCGCCCGGGCCGGTAAGGCCACGGCCCTGGAGGGGCGAGCGATCGGCTATGTGCAGGCGAGGTATCACGTTCTTAAGGCCGTGGCGAAGGTGATGGGTATCACGCACAGTGAAGTGCAGGCCTTGTTTGGCCTGCACAGCTTGCGCTCGGGTGGCGCGACGGCGGCGGCCGAGCAGGGTGTCGATGAGCGGTTGTTCCAAGCCCACGGGGGCTGGCGGTCGCGTGAGGCCATGCTGGTATACCTGGCCGATAGCGTGGGCACGAAGCTCAAGGTCTCGAAGGCCCTGGGGTACTGACAGGGTGCTGTACCGGGCCTGAGCCTTTTTTCGGCAGCGTGTAACGCACGGAGCAAGGCTATGCCACCCCTTTCCTCTCAGGTCCCTTCGCACCCCAACCGGCGATTATTGAAGTTTCGGTAACCAGGCTCGCCTCCTCCCACGGAAGCAAGCACACTCTTCTGCTCGCAGGTACCCAAGCTCGACTCATGTCTATAAGCGGTAAGGCAACTACTCATGAAAACTGTAGGTTTTCTGAGAGTAACGAAAGAAAACCAAGGTTTTCTGTGTATTTGCCGAGAGCGTACTCGGCTGTTCGTTGGTGGTACAGCGGGGCTGTACCGGTCACTCGGGGAAAGACTTGGTCATGGATGGGTTTTCCAGTCATGGATTTGGTCATGGATGCGGTCATGGATCCGGCCATAATTTGCCATCAAGTCATGGATTTGGTCATGTATGTGGTCATGGATCCGGTCATAATTTGTCATTAAGTCATGGATCCGGTCATGGATCAGTTCATAGTTTGCATAAGCAAGTGCAGGATATGACTGGTTGGGGTCATGAAATGCGTGGTCATGATGTCATTTATGATGGGATTTATGACAGGTCATGGGACCGCAATATGACCGTATTCAGTCATGGCTCCACTTTATGACCCCATGAGGTCATAAAGGTGGTCATGTACCTGCTCATAAATATGCGGAACATGACCAGGTCATATTGTGCATGGTATTCCATGATGCAACAATGCAGGCCATGACCACCCTGGCCCATGTTTTGCACTCATTCCATGAGTCGTACACTGCACTCCATGACTACCCGGGCCCATGTTTTGCACACATTCCATGAGTCGTACACTGCATTCCATAACCACCCTGGCCCATGTTTTGCTTGGTTTACATGACTCGTACACTGCATTCCATGACCACATTGGCACATGTT